GTACTTGATGTCTCGGCAGCATTGGAAAGGGCGTGAACTCAGATGAATAACCAGCCTCTAAATCTGACCCCCCCCCCTCTCTATCTCTCGTAGTCAAAAGTACTTGATGTCTCGGCAGCATTGGAAAGGGCGTGAACTCAGATGAATAACCAGCCTCTAAATCTGACACTCGTTCATAACGAGTCTTTGTCTCTCTGTTTCCCCCGCCACAGGTTGATTATTGCTTGTTGAACTGTCAGTCGTAGACTACGCGCTAGACGTGATATTGACATTGATATAGTGCTGAAACCTGCGATCGGTAATTACAGTCCAACGGAGATCGTTTGCTGTCATTAACCGTCTATATGACTACCAAATGTATTCAAAATCGTAGATGGTGGGCAAAGATTATATCAATATGACTAGAATATCTCAGTTGGAGCCAGGTCGTGATTATGGTTAAATAGTAACATTAAATGCCTGAAAGTTTCAAATTTCACGGATTATTTTGATCATTATTAATGGCTTGATAATCACTTTGTGTAACACTATCTTAGTGTTAACAGATATCAGTTTCGTAAATATATAATTTATTTACATCATGAAAAGAATATAAAACAGCTACATAAATACAACAGGAACATAAACAATAACATCAACACGGTACATTAATAAAGTATATAGTATTTTAACCACGTGGCTAAGTGGATAAGACGCTAGCTCGCTAGCCTGGAGGTCGGGTGTTCGATCCCTGTATTGGCCGAGAAAGTTCATCAAGGTTTTCCGGCGTGGTTCTCCCTTGTCAGTGATGCAGGACGGAGAGGTTGTCTAGTCGTTCGGATAGGACGAAAAACCGGGGTCCCGTGTATACATTGGCGTGCACGTAAAATATCCCTTGGCAGTTGGAATTCGATGGAAGAGTAGGCCGTAGTGCCGCTGTCCGGGCAAAATTTCCCTCATAGCACACTGTATGGCGTATGCCCGTCTTCATTATCCCAGTTCGGAGCAAAACAGTAGAACGTTAAACTCCATTTCATTTCATTTCATTTAATTTCATTTCACTTCTGCATCGTAGTCGTTCGGATGGGACGAAAAACCGAGGTCCCGTGTACACATTGGCGTGCACGTAAAAGATTCCTTGACAGTTGGAATTCGATATAAAAGTAGGCCGTAGTGCCGCTGTCCGGGCAAAATTTCCCTCATAGCACACTGTATGGCGTATGCCCGTCTTCAATATCCCAGTTCGGAGCAAAACAGTAAACGTCAAACCCCATTTCATTTCATTTAATTTCATTTCACTTCTGCATCGGCAGCGGCTGAACTCGGATGAGCACATTTGCCGGTCTCGGCTCCTCTCTTATCCTCCCCGCTCGTCCCTCGGCTGCCTCTCTTCTGGTTATATAGCCTCCGACAGTAGAGAAAATAGATAAGAGCATGAGCATATATGGAATTGTCTATTTATGACATCATGGTATGATTACGGACCAGTGCGTATTTCCTTTGAAGTCACGTAGAGCGTGTATACAGATCATGTAGTTTGTAAATGACATGTGGGATTAATTACATGCTTAATTAAACCATAGCCAGTTCGTGCCTTAACAAAAATATATACGTGTTGAAAAGTCAATATCATATATTATCAAAACAACAAGTGGGGACAATAAGTTTTATGCACCTAAATGATCGGTCAATTTGATGAAAGTTATAGAGCACTTTGTCACATGCTATTACTATTATCAGCCCTATATACCATTCAGATTCCGACAGCAGCACAGAACTAGGATAAACATTTCTAAAGAGTCTTTCACATAGAATAAAGCAGTTGTATCCACGCACTAATCCGATAAACTTCCCATAATAATACTATACTTTACATTGTGAAAGGTTTCTCGGGGCCGAATTCATCCAATCAGACAAGTTGTTAGGAAATGAAATGAAAAATAAATAAAATAGGGAAGTGGCGGATCAAACGGTTTTTCGTTGTTTTTCTTTCTTTGGTATAAAATCTAAACAAGACTCTGCAGCCTTCCAACTTATTTTACTTTTCCATGCCGGATATACCTATATGCCCGGATTTTCCTATATGCACGGCAGACTGAAGCCTGGGCGAGCTCTGGGAGTGGCTTTTCTACCTATATGCCCGACAGGCCGAAGCCCAGAACTTCAAGATCTGGGGGAGCTCTGGCAGTGCCCTTTCTACCAATTCGAAATAAAGAATACGAAATAAGAAAAACAAATATTTAACAGATGTTCCGGAAGAACAGAAAAGCAAATTGGTGTGGCCTAACATGTTCGTATTTAATTTTTGGAAATGTTAAGAGAGTATCGCTTTAATGAATGAGTGCCGGAGTTGAAGTATAATTATGGGTCCATTGTCTTTCTGTGGCTGTGGTCGTATTTCATTTTTGCAAATTCTCAGAGAAAATCGCCTCAATGAGTGAGTGCCAGGGTTGAAGTATATTCTTTTTGTGTCTGTGTTGGTATTTCATTTTTCTAAATTCTCACAGAATATCGCCTCAATGTATGAGTGCCAAAGTTGTAGTATATTTACCCGCTCAGTTTCTTTCTATGCCTGGGTTCGTATTTCTTTTTTTGTAAACTATCACAGAATATCGCCTTAATGAGTGGTTGCTAAAGAGGTAATATATTTACGGGTCCATTTTCTCTCTGTGGCTGTGTTCGTATTTCATTTTTGAAAATTCTCAGAGAATATCACCTTAACGAGTAGGTGCCAAATATGTAGTATATTTACCCACCCATTTTCTTTCTATAACCTTTTACTGAATGACGTCTTAGCCAGGGGTGGATCCAGGGGCTGGGTCGACCCCCCCCCCCCCCCCTGCTCAGCTACATAATTTTTTTGGTAAATCAGTACTTTTTATGAGAAAAGTTTCTCGGCCGTGTGCTTTATCCTTTATCGTCAGATGTGGGACAGCATGGGCACTCAAAGCATGAGATAATGATATAGACTTTATGTGATATCACAATTAATGCTTTGCATCCATGAAATTGAATGACAAAGTCATTGTATTAATTCATAATACAAACTGACATCAAACGAGGTGTTGAATTTCTCTGTTTAAAAAGCTCAATGTGTATGTATATACTCCAAAATGACCATAGAGACCATGCGAGAGGAGGGGGGGGGGGAGATAAATTGTCTCAGGAACCTGGCAAACCCCCTCCTGCAAAAATTCCTGGATCCGCCCCTGCTTAACATGATACCAAATTAATGTTTATCCAATTCGGAGGTTCGAATTCCTTTCGTGTTATTTGGCTGTTATATTTAGTTGAGAAGGAGAGGGGAGAGGTCTCCAGCTGACCACTCAATAATTCCTACAAGTACTTCCAAGTATTTATCATTTCGCATGAAAGAATAATAATAAGGCCGTAGGGAGAAATCATAAAAATACATCAACCTTGATTTCCATGTTCTCAATGTCCATTTAGAGTTATAAACCGATATCAGTTATTTCATTTATCATCATAATAATGTAGTTTATATGATGTAGAAGTGTTTAGGGCGAGCAAAAGAGATGCAATCAATAGCCTGTGTACTGTTCTATTACCATCACGATCCCTTTACTTGGTTAGCTTCTAAACATGACCAAATTACTGGGAGCGGACACGCAGAATGATTGAATTAAAAACCAATTTACCAGCTACTATCTGGTATTGTAACTTGTAACAAGGTGCGCGGACCGAATATTTATATACACGGTGTGTGGCTTCCGATATGCATCTGGACGGAGATGTACAGAATCTTGGAGAATTAAATTATAGCCAGGATAAAGGCTATAGCCACACCACCAGGTTAACTGTTTTTCAAACAGAGAAAATAACAATGAGATTGTACACAGATACCAATCAATCAGTAAAACAGCGTGTCCCTTGCCAGTGGTGAAACAGAGAAAGAGAGAGAGAGAGAGAGAGATGGGGTTTAACGTCCGAGCTATAATATCGACCAACAAATGGGTTGAACTGACTAGCTAGCCTTGAGGTCTCGGGTTCTTCACTCTCGGTACTGGACGAGAAATTTCCTTGGGATTTTATGGCGTGGTGCAGGACGGAGGATCTGGCAAGGGCATTTGTCCGTCCGTCTTCATAAGCCTAGTCGGGCCAGAAAAGTAGAACGTTTAACCCCATTTCATTTCACGAAAGTGGTGTTTAGGATCTTTAACATACTGAAGCACTTGATAGTTGGTGAGTTCTATAAGACTCCCCACCTGACAATCCTGAAATATATCGTACAACTATAACACTCTATCAAACCCTTGATAGGCACTTTACAGGTGCGCTCACTTGAGTTAAATTTTGAGGATTAAGTAGCGATCTCAGCTAGAAATAGTAGTGTATACTTCATACAAAACTTGAAAAATAATATACTCTGAAACAGAATGCTGATCTCAAGACTTCCCTCGTGTCTCGATGACATATTCTGTAGAGTTAAAAGGATTTTGAAAATAAAAACACCCAGTAGCATCTGTGTTGTGTAGACATTTTAAGTGATGTAGCTGTTCGTACGTTATATTCTCTGTGTCAATTTTAATGCCCCAATCCTTTAACTTGTGGGAAGGGGGTTGGGGAAGTAGTCACACCGTAGGGGATATGGACTCGCGACTTTAAATCATGCGTGCGGTGAGAAGAACCTCGCGATTGTTCAAGCTGCCCAGGCAAAATGTTCATATCACTATGGACTATGCTCCATTGGAGTGGGAAAATGACCTAACACATGGTTCAGTATTATTTCAGTAATTCGCTTGCGCGTAGGGATCTTTAGCAGTGGGAGGAAACCGAAGGAACCGGAGAAAACCCACGTGGTTGGACAGGCGACCCTACTACTTGTCACGTACAACTGGGAAATCGAACAAGCGCCAGTTGGCTCAATGACAGACCTTGTGATGCAACGCGCACACACTAATCATTCGGCCATCCAACACACCCTTCTTCAGTGGACGTACATAAATAAAAATATAAATATAAACTTTCTAAACTATACTACCCTGTGGAGGTCAACCGAATTAATTTAAATATAATTTATTGGCTAACAAAACATAACCCACGTAATTAAAAAAAACCAATCAACATAAGATTATAACTCATTAACCGATTATGCCACCGCTATGACTGCACGCACCAGACTGTTTGTATGGACCCACACAAGAGGCGAAAGCCATGACGTGAGCAAGGTAATTTTGCTCGTGAACACCAGTTAAAAGATGGGCGTATGGTCCTCGAGCGTAGATAGCCACATCTTCACCGCCGTGAGTTTCTGAATGAGTGGGAACCGCAGCATCTTGGTTGTAGCTTTCTACCACTAGAAAATAACAAAAAATACCTTTAATAAAACTACATAAAATATCGTAATAAATGATACATCTTTCGAGATTAAGACATGACACAATTTAATGCAACCGATGCACGGAACTGCGATTAAACCACTAGAAAAGTCAACACTGATTGATTAATCAATGTCTGACGTCATAGGGTCGAAAACTGCCCGTATGACCCCTGACGCAACCTCTCAGTATAACTGGCCAGATCTTCATGTAGTGTAGGCCATCGAAAGTATAAAAAACGAAACGAAATATAATATCTGTATTTTAATCAGATTGAATTTTATGGAATACTGGGCAATTCGATTGGCTGACCAGTAAAATCAATTTGCATATATCCAATTTGCATATTGGTCAGCCAATCGAATTGCAGTATTTCTTAAAATTTCGATTGTATCTTAGTTTAAGTTTTCGCGAATAAGGGCCCAGGTTACTTTAAAGTGGTCAGAATGTTTTTGCTTTTTTTTCACTACTTGTTTTAAGTTTTCACACAATAACTTTGATATAATGGAGACAATTATTTAAAAATAAAAAGAGTAATGAAATAGTGAATGCACCCCCCCCCCTTTTTTCATTCTTTTAAGATTGTTCTTTAAAATTATTGTTCATATTCAAAAATTAAAGTGGCTGGGTGGTTAAGACGCTGGCTCGCTAGCCTGGAGGTCGTGTGTTCGATCCCTGCATTGGCCGAGAAAGTTCATCCCGATTTTCCGACGTGGTTTGCCCTTGTCAGTGGTGCAGAACGGAGGGTCTGACAAGGACAGCTGTCTAGTCCTTCGGATGAGACGAAAAACCGAGGTCCCGTGTATATATTGGAATGTACGTAAAAGATCCCTTGGCAGTTGGAATTCGATATAAGAGTAGGTGACAGTGTCGCTGCCCGGGCAAAATTTCCCTCATAGCACACTGTATGGCGTATGCCCGTCTTTATTAGCCCAGTATTAGGGTGACCCACCATAAATAAATATCTCCATATATCTCGACAATTACGCCACAATATTTATATATATGCCAAGCCTCAAATCAGTTTCACACAATTATAGTCACTAAATAAACGATCATGTTGTACTTAATAAGCTATGACCATTAATCATCTATAAATAATAGACTGAAAACTGGTTCCAAGAGTCGTCCATAACATCCAGACACTTTTGAGTAAAAGATAGGTTACGTGCCCTTGTTTTGAAATTAGTCTCGCTTAACCAGTCTATCGATCATTCTACGTCTGATTGACAGGTCGGGATAATCAAGACTACTTTTTTACGAAACGTAACAGAAAGCTAGAACAAGAAATTGAATTTAGAAATAAGCACGTTAGGTAGCTCAACAATCGTTTTAAGAAGCTTGTAAAAGTAAAATGAAACTACTGCTAGTATCATGTTCCTGCCTAACCCGAGTGATTCAGATATATTATTTGTACTAAACCAAAAGATGCCGCTCTTAACGGTACAGTTAATGATAAAGCGATTTAAAAAATGAAACGAACGTAATTTCTAAATCTGCTGTAATAACCAAGAAGCTTAATTTAACTTCTATCCAAAATCGTCAACAATAAATATTTTACGGCTGTAATAGTTGATAGATTTGTAGAGAATTGTACGTGCCATGGCTATTTATAGTATCATACTGTCAGAAAGTTGGTCTCGGCACGGCGAATGTGCACGCTTCAGTGGTAGTCTCGAACTATCAGCGGTGGACTGTATTTCTGTGAGTACATGGGCCACCCTACCAGTATAGGAGTAGGACGTTAAACCCCATTTCATTTCATTTCATTTTCAAAAATTAAAGATTGTTCTTGATACCAATTTGGTTTAACATTGTTCTTTAAGAACATTTTTGTACGCGTTTTTCGTAAAGATCGGTCTTTAAAGATTGTTCTTGCATAAGTTTTATTTGAATACTAATTTCTAATAACCCTAATTACCCTAATTACCTAATTAGCCCAAATAGCCAGGAGATGAAAAGAGATGGAGGTCATGGATTAACCCCGAAACAATTAGAGCATCATTCTCTTTGGATATCTGGTTTGATTGATGAGTTTCCAAATAATCGTTATAAAGAACATCGTGGGACTATTTAACAAACTTTTGTTCGCTGTATGGGTATAAACCGTTAAGGGCAGAAATAAATTGTAAATGTACATGTTCTATTTATACAGTATTTGGCCTGACAAGGACGGCTGTCTAGTCGTTCGGATGGGACGAAAACCCGAGGTCCCGTGTATACATTCGCGTGCACGTAAAAGATCCCAACTGGAATTCGATATAAGAGTAGGCCGTAGTGCCGCTGTCCGGGCAAAATTTCCCTCATAGCACACTGTATGGGTATGCCCGTCTTCATTAGCCCAGTTTGGATCAAAACAGTATGACGTTAAACTCCTTTTCATTTCATTTTTACAATATATAAATCGCTATTTCTACAACGTGAAAGGCACGGGTCCGAATCTAGTTATAGTGTTATGAATCGTCGGCTTTCCCTGGATATATAGTGGTTTAAGGGAAACAGGAGATGCTACATATATATGCACAGTGTTTAATCTCGGTTCACAGAGAGAGAGAGAGAAATGGGGTTTAACGTCCACTCGACACAAACTAGGTCATTTCGGGACTAACATATGGTTTAATTTTATTTACATAATTCGCTTGCGCGTAGGGGTCTTTAGCAGTGGGAGGAAACCGGAGGACTCGGAGAAAATCCACGAGGTTGGACAGGCGACTCTACTCCTTGCCACGTACAACCGGGGATTCGAAACCACGCCAGTCGACTCAATGACAGACTTTATGATACATTGCGCGCACGCTAACCATTCAGCCATCCACCCCCCCCCCCCGGTTCACAGAGTAATCCCACAAAATACAATGGCATAGACAATACTTAATATTAGATCCACCGGTACGTGTTTAGCAGAAAGAAATCATGTTTATTAAGAAGTTCGCTTACGTGTGTGATGATGAGAAGCGTCGTGTCTGGGCGATGCATGACCTGGTCCAGTACCATAAATTAAAGTTGTATAATATTTATTATCACTGGCCTTTCCAGCTACACCTGAAAGAGAGAAAGAGAAATGGGGTTTAACGTCCACACGACACGGACTAGCTCATTCCGGGAGATGACGTATGGCTCAATTATATTTCAATAATTCGCTTGCGCGTAGGAAACTTTAAAAGTGGGAGTAATCCAGAGGAGCCTGAGAAACCCAACGTTGGAAGGCGACCCTACTCCTTGTCACGAACAAGTAAAACCATCAAATATCATAAATATTATAAGCCGTATAAACACAAATATATATCGTAGTTATTATAAGCAGTATAACCACCATATATCATAGTTATTTTTAGCCGTATAATCACCATATATCATAGTTATTATTAGCCATATAACCACCATATATCATAGTTATTATTAGGCGTATAACCACCATATATCATATTTATTATTAGCCGTATAACCACCATATATCATAGTTATTATTAGCAGTATAACCACCATATATCATAGTTATTATTAGCCGTATAACCACCATATATCATATTTATTATTAGCCGTATAATCACCATATATCATAGTTATTATTAGCAGTATAACCACTATATATCATAGTTATTATTAGCCGTATAACCACCATATATCATAGTTATTATTAGCCGTATAACCACTATATATCATAGTTATTATTAGCCGTATAACCACTATATATCATAGTTATTATTAGCCGTATAACCACTATATATCATAGTTATTATTAGCCGTGTGACCACTATATATCATAGTTATTATTAGCCATATAACCACCATATATCATAGTTATTATTAGCCGTATAACCACCATATACCATAGTTATTAATAGCTGTATAACCACCATATACCATAGTTATTAATAGCTGTATAACCACCATATATCATAGTTATTAGATGTATAAGCACTATCTTGCATCATTTATAAGAAAAAAAAATGTGAATTTTATTTTTGAATTGACAAAAGACAAAATGATCCTTTGTTTAGCCGCATATCGAATTTATTGCAGAGCATGTTTATTCTCTAATATTGCGTGATGTACAGTAAGCGTAGAATTACGGATATGGCCTTCGTGGTGCCCTCTAAAATAGTAAAAGCCCATAAAACAAGCAACAGACAATAAACAAGGAATCATGCTGCGTCGATATAGTGTTCATTAGCAGTTGTTATTATTTGATTGCGGGATTTATTCTCTGCGAACAATGGGCTAAAAGGAGGTATTCGTGTCGTTAACGGTGTAGATTATGTTTCAGATGTATATTCAGAAATTGAAACTGCTTATCTACCAAATAAACACTTAAGTTTAATGGCAGATATTGAAAATAAATGCGTCTATGGTGATTATCAAATCAGATTATTTTGCATGAAATGTTGGTACCGTTTTCGCGGTTCGATTTGATGCCCGGTTTGGCTCGTGCTCTTATGATTTTTAGTCACAAAAAGGCGACCTTGACCATTATAGTTATGAGAGAGAGAGAGAGAGAGAGAGAGAGAGAGAGGGTAACGTCCACTCGACACCAACTAGGTGATTTCGGGACTAACATATGGTTTAATTCTATTTCAATAATTCGCTTGCGCGTAGGGGTCTTTAGCAGTGGGAGGAAACCGGAGGGCCCGGAGAAAACCCACGAGGTTGGACAGACGACCCTACTCCTTGTCACGTACAACCAGGGAATCGAAACCACGCCAGTTGACTCAATGACAGACCTTATGATACAGCGCGCACTTGCTAACTATTCGCCCCCCTCCCCCCTGAGAAATGAAGGAAGGAAGTAATACAATCAATAAATTCTCCATGTTATAACCAAGAGTAGGTTCCACATGAAAACACAGAATCAAAGAGTGCGCAGTCATGCTGATACACAAGGAGCGGTGTCAAAAAGGGTACCGAATCAAACCGCGAAACCGTAATGGAATCAAAAATGCATTGAACACGACATTCCCGTGGGTGTAGGCGGAAGTTTGTTTTTCAATAAACAGGAAATCCGTTTGTCGCATTACCGTTACATACAATTCATTAATTGTGGAAGAGCTACAGAAAAAATATATAGAAGCCATCATATTTGCTGAGCTGAAAGCATAGACAGTCTTTGTTGGCTCATTGCCTTCAACAACACCGGCATTGATTCAACGATCTGCACCTTCACCCTAAGGACAAGGACAGCTGTCTAGTCCTTCGGATGAGACGAATAACCGAGGTCCCGTGTATACATTGGAATGCACATTAAATATCCCTTGGCAGTTGGAATTCGATATAAGAGTAGGCGATAGCACACTGTATGGCGTATGCCCGTCTTCATTAGCCCAGTATAGCAGCAGAACAGTAGGACGTTAAACCTCATTTCATTTCATTTCCTTCACCCTAAGACCCGATCATACCACCACCCCACCACGTCACGTGGGTTGCACATAAAATACATGAAGTTTTACCATCAGTACCTACCCGGATAATGAATGAAGACGTACGTACATCATGCAGTGTGCTTTGTGGGAACATTTTTTAAAACAGCAAAAAACAAAATTAATTTTCTTTCTACACGAAAAAGTCACTCTCTAAATGGGCAAACCATTTTATATAGTCATCTGCAATTACAGCAATTAATAGCTAAATATACGCATGATTGAATGAAACTTTTCATCTCATCGGCCATATTATTTAACGTAAACGCTTCCCTCGGGTAATTATTATTGATTGCCACATTATAGACGGATGACGCCATTTTTACTGGTATAACTCACGTTTTATGAGAGTAAAATAGTTTTTACTTTATAAATTAGTGTAGCATGGAATCGTCGTCAAGCCGATAACAGTTCGCTTGTAATAAATATAACATTGAAACAGTACCCCCGAACGTCACAAAAAGATGTAATATCTAAATAGAACCCCCGAACGTCACAAATAGATGAAACATTGAAACAGTACCCCCCCCCCCCCCACCACCACCAACGTCACAAATAGGTGTAGTATTGAAACAGTACCAACGAATGTGGTAAAAAAAAATATTTCCATAATTCGCTTCCACGTTGGGGGGGGGGGGAGGGGGCTTTACCTGAGGGAGGAAACCTAAGCACATAGAGAAAACATAGGAGGTTGGACAGGAGACATTACGTCTTGTCACGTTCAAGCGGGGAATCTAAACTACGTCTCTTGACCCAATGACAAACATTATGATCTAAACCATTCGGCCACCCAACATCCCCTTTAAATTACAGCTTCCCGGCAGGTGTAAATTACGTTTATACTCAGAGAGAGAGAGAGAGAGAGAGAGAGAGAGAGAGAGAGATAAATGGGGTTTAACGTCCACTCGACACAAACTAGGTCATTTCGAGACTAACACATGGTTCAATTTTATTTCAATAATTCGCTTGCGCGTAGGGGTCTTTAGCAGTGGGAGGAAACAGGAGGACCCGGAGAAAACCCACGAGATTGGACAGGCGACCCTACTCTTTGTCACGCACAACCGAAGAAAGAATCGAAACCCCGCCAGCTAACTCAATGACAGACCGTATATGATACAGCGCGCGCGTGCTAATCCTTCTAGAATAAATAGATACCCCCAACTTGTAAGCAGCCTACACAGTAAAACAACGAAATCTCGAACTTCAAAAACCAATGTATTTGTATTCGAGAAAAACAAGGTTCGAATAAAACATACTGTCAAATATTTCGATCAAAGATACAATTACAAATATCTGGCTAGCAATCAATGACATGTTGTCAATTGGTCGTTAAACCTAATGAGTTTGGTTCTGGGAATTGGTTGTGATTGCTAAAGGTAAATGCGAGGGGGTTCATCCTTGTATTTATAAGATCTGTCAGTGTCAGTTCCGTTCTGTTCTTTATTAACTTTGAGTATAAAACTCATCATTATACATATAATTACAATATTTAGATAATCTACAGTATGTACAATATAACAAAGTGAATAAGTTGAGAGTGGAAATTTAAATTATATATCTATAATGTCATCAAAATTAGTAATTTAATATTACGGTTTATATACTAAACATCATTTAGACTGTAATCATTTAGGCTTTCTACATCCTTTTTAATTCCATTATTTTTTAATGTCAGATATAAATAATGTTAATCAAAGGCCTTTTAGGGTGATTAAGATCAATTATTAGTATTCAGTATCTTACCTAAGATTGGGTTTCCTCTGGCCGGATAACCTGCCATAGTCATCGTATGTGAATGATCCGCAGTGACCAAAATCAAAGTGTCCTTCTCATTCGTAATGCTGGCTGATTTTGCTACGGCTTGTTCTAAAGCAAGTGTATCGTGAAGAGCATCAAAGGCCCGACCCGAATGATGAGAATGATCGATGTTACCCCCTGTATAAAAATAACAAAATACACATTTACAAAAATTAAACCCAAAAACAAATTTATACAAAAATAAACAAAAATTAAAGCTAAAAAACAAAAATGCATTTAAATCAAACCAAATGATGCGTAAATAAACTTGTCTCGCAATCGCAATGATGCGCACGAGTGAGATTTATTTTAACTATACGAACCAGGAAACTCTGATGTGTGACGTCATTGTACTCAGCTAATCGATGCATAATTGTAACCCACTACCCTTCCCCAAAGCAACAAAAAAATAAATAAATAAAAATAAAAACATGCCATGTTTCATGTCTATGTACTTAAATTAGCGGAGCTGTTTGTTATTTTTTTTTTAAAGCGTCGCTCCAAGAAACAGAAGAACATTACTGAGAGCGTGGACTCAGTTCCTGGTGCAACAGTTGAATATAAATTAAATGAAATGAAATGAAATGGAGTTTAACGTCCTACTGTTCTGCTCCTAACCTGGGCTAATGAAGACGGACATACGCCATACAGTGTGCTATGAGGAAATTTTGCCCGGACAGCGGCACTACGGCCTACTCTTATATCGAATTCCAACTGCCAAGGGATCTTTTACGTGCATTCCAATGTATACACGGGATCTCGGTTTTTCGTCTCATCCGAAGGACTAGACAGCTATCCTTGTCAGGCCCTCCGTCCTGCATCACTGACAAGGGGGAACCACGCCGGAAAATCTGGATGAACTTTCTCGGCCAATGCAGGGATCGAACACCCGACCTCCAGGCTAGCGAGCTAGCGTCTTACCCACTCAGCCACGTGATCCCCCGAAGAGAAATTAAAGATACGTTATGTAAGAATGGTCGTGCTAACAGTTCAAAAATAGATAATGCAAATGAATACATTGAAAATTGTTAGTTTCTGAGCGAAGTCATGAGGCTTTGAAGTGTTCACAATATAGTCTCGATTGTCAAGTACCATTGTTACGATAATAAGCAAAGTCTCGATTATCCATTCATAAATTATACATGGCGATCTTGTTTCAATCCATTGAAAATCGCAACCACCCGATCGTCTACAGAGTTGATCATGGGCTTGTCATGTGAATAAATATCTAATTAATACTTTATATAACATAAAATTGAGTCCAACAAAAAAAAAGACTTGCAAAAGGCAGATTTAGCGCTTACATAATGCTTCTTTATAGGTCCCTTACAAAGAAAATTACCCATGTGTATCAAGCTTTAAGGAGGTAAGTCTCTAACTCAATATTTTCCATAATATTCGAAATTAAAAACACGAATTAGAATTCAAAATTAATCATTTTCAATCAATAATGATGTTATTATCTTGCTGTGAAACTATAGAACCCTAATATCCAATATCTAAGACACGAAAAATGAAACAAAAAATAGAGCCATGCGCTCTTTAAATGAATTCGATTAGTTAGCAAAAAGTAGAGCCATGCTCCCTTTAATAGACTCACCCTCCACTAATAAGAAGAAGCCATTGTTGTTTTTTTGTAAGATTTGTATGGCTTTCTCGGTCATTTCAGCTAATGTTGGGTCCTTGGTATCCTGCGTCTCTTGTTCGTAACTGTAAGACATGTGGGAACTATCAAATAAACCTGGAATCAAATACAATGGATTGTTTTAATAGCATTTAGTAATTGAACTGGAGTATACAGGTCACAAGTCTAAACGTCGCTCAGTAATAAGCAGTAATTGTATTCCATAGAATTGTGACCCATATAAATAAAGTGGAGTTCAAAATGCTGTATTAATGGCGTCGGGATGAGCCATTTCAGTGTGTGAAATTAACATGGGATCAAATAAAATGGGGTTCAAAATGCTGTACTAATAGCGTCGGGATGAGCCATTTCAGTGTGTGAAATTAACATGGGATCAAATAAAATGGGGTTCAAAATGCTGTACTAATAGCGTCGGGATGAGCCATTCAGTCTGTGAAATAAACCTGGGATCAAATAAAATCGGGTTCAAAGTGCTGAACTAATGGTGACGGAATACGCCATACAACCTGTGATATTAACCTGGGATAAAATGAAATGGGGTTCAAAATGCTGTACTAATAGCGTCGGGATTGGCCATACAGTTTGTGAAATTAACCTGGGATAAAATAAAATGGGGTTTAATAATATAACGACGGAATATGCCATGGCGTGTATGAAATAAACTTCGAATGAAATGAAATGAGGTTTAACATCCTGAACAAACCGGACAAATAAAGTCGGGATACGCCATTCAGTGTGTTATATAAACTTCGAATGAAATGAAATAGGAAATGAAATGAAATGAAATGGGGTTTAACGCCCTACTGTTTTACTCCGAACTGGGCTAATGAAGACGGGCATACGCCATACAGTGTGCTATGAGGGAAATTTTGCCCGTACAGCGGCACTACGGTCTACTCTTATATCGAATTCCAACTGTCAGGGGATCTTTTACGTGCACGCCAATGTATATCCGAACGACTAGACAGCTGTCCTTGTCAGGCCCTCCGTCCTATAATTTCCTACAGACTAGGATTCCGTTACGTGCACCGAAGTGTGTAACAGATGGGTCTGAATTTTCGTCCGATTCATACGACTAAACATACAATCCTCGCGATCTATGACAAGCAAACGAAGGGCTAAAAAAATTCGGGAATGTTATTTTCAGTCTTTCGAGGATTGAAACTGGAAAACAATCGATTTTCGATAAATAGATACTGCTTCGATAAGAATATAAAAATATGTCAATCTAATAAAAAATGTTTGATAAAAAGAACTGATTTGAAATGATATACTATATAGATATACATCTGAGATAAAATATGGAAATAAACTTCTGGTTATTGCTTTGATAACATCTAATTATCGTGGGAACTCTAATTTGATTAAAGCGTGATGAACGCCATTTGTACGGCGCAGTTAGTAAATACGCGAACGGGAGGAAAAAACTTAACAGCGTCAACTTCTATACTTGCACACTATCAATTTTAAAATCGTATAACTAAATAAAATTCAAAGCTGGAATCCCACGGCCGCTGTCAAATGTAAACAGGAATATTTGAAGAGCGCTGAGCGGAGCGAATAAATCTGTATACAGCCAAGTATGGAAGACCAAATGGGACAATATTCATGATTCTTGTTTCTACATTCCAGTTTGAACATTTTAGACACGAACGCAACATTCTAAACTAATGATTCTTGTTTCTACATTCTTATGTCAACATTTCATGCACAAAATCAACATTTTAAACAAAAAATTGACTTTATGTTTCATTTTCGTCGTTTTATCGGTAACTTTTATATATCATTAAATATTGAAATTAAAAAATAATTTCTTAATTTTACACGACAAAGAAAGCAATTCATTGGTTTCTGAAAGTATCTAAAAAAAAATCTGGAATTTGAACTCTTAAAAAATATTTTCTACGTTTCAAAAAGTCTACTTTGCTTTCTAATCTATAGTCTGTATCAAAGTTGTACACATACGCTAACGCCCTCTGGTGTAATAATGTTGATAATTCATTATATTTTTCTGGACATTTTCATTTCAAGATTTTAACTTCAAGACTTCTTGAAACGTCCTATCCAGCCGAGTAGACTCTGTATCTTGTCATGTCCCGTGTACACATTGGCGTGCACGTAAAAGATCCCTTGACAGTTGGAATTCGATATAAGAGTAGGCCGTAGTGCCGCTGTCCGGGCAAAATTTCCCTCATAGCACACTGTATGGCGTATGCCCGTCTTCATTAGCCCAGGTTAGGAGCAGAACAGTAGGACGTTAAACTCCGTTTCATTTCTGTATCTTGTCAGGACCTCAGTCCAGCACCACTGACAAGAAAAAACAATGCTGGAAAATTCCGAGGAATATTGTCGCCCTATACCGGGGTCGAACACAGGAACTTCTGGTTAGTGAGTCAGTGTCTTACGTGGCTCCGTCTACCATAGGCGGTTTGGATGGCAGAATGGTTAGCATGTGCACGCTGTATCATAAGGGTGTCATTGAGTCAACTGGTGTGGTTTCGAATCTCCGGTTGTACGTGACAAAGGCTAGGGTCGCCTGTCCAAACTCGTGGGTTTTCTCCGCCCCCCCCCCCGGGTTTCCTTCCACTGCTAAAGACCCCTACGCTCAAACGAATTATTGAAATAAAATTGAACCATATGTTAGTCCCAAAATGACCTAATTTGTGTCGAGTGGACGTTAAACCCCATCTCTCGCTCTCTCTCTCTCTCTCTCTCTCTCTCTCTCTCTCTCTCTCTAACGCACTCAACATGTTTCGTATAAAATTCGGTACGTACCCTCGAACAACGGGTAAAATGTCAATGGAGTGATTAATAAATAGCTGTACCAAAAAAAGCGTCATCTGATTACCGGGTAGTTTACAAATTATGGCAGAATAATTAGATGAAACGAATTATTATTAATTTAAGTCAATCATAGTTTATTATACTATTTAATATCTTCCAGCGACTCCTATAAAAACTAAAACTCGTATAGTTACATGCTACACAAGAGAGTTTTGTTTTTTTGTAAATCAATCCTCAGTTAAAATGGCGCAATTGGTTAATATTTTCGTTGTGTTTAGTTTATGTTTCGTCTTAATACAGGGTAAGTTTTGCTCTTTTCGTTTCGTGGAATGTTTCCGTACAACAAATGCACTGAAATGAAATGGGATTTAACGTCCTCTGTTCTGCATTCTGCACCGAGACTAGGTCATTTTGGGACTAACATACGGTTCAATTTCATTTCAATAATTCGCTTGCGCGTAGGGATCTTTAGCTGTGAGAGGAAACCGGAGGACCCGGAGAAAACCAACAGGTTTGGAGTTTGGAGAGGCGACCCTACTCCTTGTCACGTGCAAGCAAAGAAATCGAAACCACGCCACTTTACTCAATGGCAGATCTTATGATCTAAAACGCATGCGTTATGCCATTCGGCCACCCTCGACCTCTGTGCACCTAAAGGAACCATTGAGAGAGAGAGAGAGAGAGAGAGAGAAACCGTAGGACCCGGAGAAAACCCACGAGGATGGACAGGCGATCTTACTCCTTGTCACGTACAACCGGGGATTCGAAACCACACCAGTTGACTCAAGGACAGGCCTTATGATACAGCGCGCACATGCTAACCATTTAGCCATCCAACCGCCCAGGAACCATTGACAGTTGCAATTCGATGAAGGGTTGGCGGAAACGCCGCTTTCTGGGCAATATGTCCCTCATAGGCCGGGGGGGGGGGGCACGGTGGCTAAGTGGGTAAGACGCTGGCTCGCTAGCCTGGAGGTCGCTTGTTCGATCCCTGCATTGGCCGAGAAAGTTCATCGGGATATTCTGGCGTGGTTCCCCCCTTGTCAGTGGCGCAGAACGGAGGACCTGGCAAGGACAGCTGTCTAGTCGTTCGGATGGGACGAAAAACCGAGGTCCCGTGTATACATTGGCAAGCACGTAAAAGATCCCTTGGCAGTTGGAATTCGATATAAGATTAGGCCATAGTGCCGCTGCACGGGCAATAATTATTTCTCTCATTTCACGCCTGTATGGCGTACGCCCGTCTTCATTAGCCCAGTATAGGAGCAGAACTGTAGAACGTTAAATCCCATTTCATTTCATTTCCCTTATAGGCCCGTCTTAATCAGCCTGTTTGGTGGAGAAAAGTTGGAGGTTAACGCCTTCCTCATTTTATATCATTTCATTTCAGGTCGTTGGCGCTAAAAATCAATTGTCAATCTCGTTTATTTAGAATCCGTTATTTTAATTGACACATAACCATGAATTCGGCGGGAAACATACTTTCACAAATTTACTTAAAAAGCCATAGTAATTATGTACTTTTCCAAACAAATTAACGCACAGAGTGTAAGAACAGATCCGGATATCGAAACCTGCCCGAAGAAGTAGGTATGGATGGGTTTTTTCCGCTAAAAACTCGTAGACTAGTTTCCGGAGATTCTGATAGAGCGGATGTGTCGAAGACAGGGAATCACCCGCGGTTCCATTTTAATTACCCATACCAGTACTTACATTTCAAAAGTCAATTTCAATTAGAAGTGTTAATAAGGTTGTTTTTTTTTAGGATAATCGAAGGTTATGTAGTTTGGGTATTTTACAGAGACATAACCCAAAACTCAATTGTTGACAAAAATCTATGGATAATAATAATAATAATAATAGGAGTCTTATATAGTGCTAAACTCCAAACAATAAAGTCTGCTCAAAGCGCACACAAAGTCAATTCTAAGTTTATTTTTAATATTTAGAAAACAGGAATGTCTTTAATTTAGATTTAAATATTGAAAATGTTGGAGCAGATTTTAAAGCTAAAGGGAGGGCATTCCACTTCAAAGCCACTGAAACTTGAAATCATTTAAAACCAAGTTTTTTCAGTTTCCATTTTGGTACTGTAATATAATCCGGCGCTTTAATGGAGGGTTGGGTGGCAGAAAGGTTTAACGCGTGCGCGTTAGGCCATACGGTCTGGCATTGTGTCAAGTGGCGTGGTTTCGATTCCTAGCTTGTACGTGGCACGTAGTAGTGTCGTCGGTCCAACCTCGTGTTCCGATTTCCTCCCACTGCTAAAGACCCTACGCGCAGGCGAATTATTGGAGTAGAATTGAACCATATGTTAGTCCCGAATTGACTTAGTATTTTGTGCAAATAATAGACTATTTAAAAAAAGTGAGATATTTTTATTATAAATTTTAACTGTAAATAATTATATATTTTAATCAGATTTATTATAATTAAATTATATTTGATTTAATGTGATATATTTAATAGTGATCTATGATGTGATTTTAAATATTTACTGATCCGTGGTAATTGATTAAAGATACATTATGGAAGATCAGATAAATAGTTGACAGTTCTCACTATAACAGTTAAAAACTAGATAATTTAAAGGGAATTTGCTGAAAATTTCAGTCAAATTGATCTACGCTGAACCGAGATTATAGCGATTGAATATTGGGGCTAGCCTCGATCATCATTACTAAAGTCGGTACGATCTCGATTATCCAGTTTTTGATTTAATTATGAATGGAAGTCGAACAGGAAATCGGAACCTAATCCAGTAAATATCGCAGACTAGCGATGACATCGAGAGTTGATTATGGTCTGGATAAGTTAATTAATGTCTAATTAATAATTTAGATAACATTTCAGACCTATAGAAAGACCTGCAACAGGCAGATTTAGCTCTTGCATAATGTATGTTTAAGTTTGGATATATATATATTTTGTGATTCAATTTAGTCTTTCTCGCAAAATTCACCATATGTCTGGCGCAGTAGAGCCCAGTTGGTGCTGGCGCGTCATTAAACAATATTTCATTTTAAGCTGTTTATTACTCGAATTTACCGAAAGGGGCAGTAGTAAGAATAAAAAGTAAAATATGAAAAGTGGTATCAAATGTTCTAGAAATATAATTTTCTCAATAAAACCTATTTGTTTACCATCGGGCATGACGTGGCTTTAATAAACCTAAGGATTGTGTGCACACAATATTTATATCGATGAAATATGAAAAACAGAGGGTAACTATGAACATGTATGTAACAATCCTACTTTCTTAATGCGGTGTGGGGGGGGGGGGGGGGTTGGATGGCTGAATGGTTAGCGTGCGCGCGCTGTATCATAAAGTCTGTCATTGAGTCGACTGGCGTGGTGTCGAATCCCCGATTGTACGTGACAAGGAATAGGGTCGCCTGTCCAACCTCGTGGGTTTTCTCCGGGTCCTCCGGTTTCCTCCCACTGCTAAAGACCCCTACGCGCAAGCGAATTATTGAAATAAAATTAAACCATATGTTAGTCCCGAAATGACCTAGTTTGTGTCAAGTGGACGTTAAACCCCATTTCTCTCTCTCTCTTTAATGCGATGCGGGGCCGTGGTGGCTAAGTGGGTAAGACGCTGGCTCGCTAGCGGAGAAAGTTAATCGGGATTTTCTGACGTCGTTACCTCTTGTCAGTGGTGATGGAAGGAGGGTCTGATAAGGACAGCTGTCTAGTCGTTCGGGTAGGACAAAAAACCGGGGTCCCGTGTATACATTGGCGTGCACGTAAAAGATCCCTTGGCAGTTGGAATTCGATATAAGAGTAGGCCATAGCACCGCTGACCGGGCAAAATGTCCCTCATAGCACACTGTATGGCGTATGCCCCGAAGGAGCAGAACAGTAGGACGTTAAACCCCATTTCATTTCATTTCATTTCATTTAATTCGACGCAGAGATGCCGGTATAGTAAAGTTCAGTGGCGTGGTTTCGAATCCCCGATTGAACGTGACAAGGAGTAGGGTCACCTGTCCAACCTCGTGGGTTTTCCCCGGGTCCTCCGGTTTCCTCCCATTGCTAAAGACCCCAACACGCAAGCGAATTATTGAAATAAAATTAAATCATATGTTAGTCCCGAAATGGCCTAGCCTGTGTCGATTGGACGTTACCCCCCCCCCCTCTCTCTCTCTCTCTCTCTCTCTGTATAGTAATGGTGTCTCTGGTTGGCCAGCATGCCAGCATTAACTAAATGTTGTTATAATTTATCATTGCTTGATAATGACTAGAAAAGCCTAGTCGAAATGTCGCTCGGTAATAAGCAGTAATTATATTCCATAAAATTGTGACCTGTATATTCTAGTTCAATTACTAAATACCATCGAAACAGTTACATGGCAATAAACTTTATCACCCAATAATACATTTTACACTAGATATCGCTTGTGTGATAATCTACTGTGATAATCTACTGCGATATCTCCTTTTTTTTGTATTTTTAAAGAACAGTTCATTTTGTATTAAAAGTAACTTCTTTTTTTTTTTTTATTAAAAATGAATTATTTTTATTTAATTGAGCGTGATGGAAACACTGGGTCAATATAAAGGACTTTGCAATGGTTGAATTACCACAGTGTAAATTTACAGAGAACGTAAATTTACCGCACTTTCTATTTACCAGAACAAGTTATTTTACACTTACTGTAAATTTACATACTGTTTGTAAATCTAAATCTACCACTTAGGAGTAAATTTACAAGTCAGTGTTAAAATACAGTCAATTTACTGGCAACTTTCTGCCAGTCATTTTACGGTAAAAATACACAAATATTATTTACAATGTAGTTGATAGGTCAATATTTCAAAGAACGATTTGGCAGATGCCAATACAATTAATTCTCTCTGCAGTGTCTCAACTGAACGTTAACCTAGCTTCAAATTCAAAAGAACAATTCCCTCAAGAGCATTCGCATCTAGAAAACAAATTGGGTACTGGTGGAAACATTAACGTATATCACCTATCTACCGTACGTAATCAACACAAACACATCACATATTTACTGAATAAAAATATTGTTTATAAAAAAATGTCTTTGACAAATAGCTGGAGGTAATCATTGGCAATAATAAGGTCAAATTGCCTTTTGCAAAAACCCTTCAAACAAAAAAAGAGCAAAGCAGTAATTTAATTGGCGAGATGCTTAGGGAAGTGACAAATGACCCCCTACGCAAAAGCGAATAATTGAAATGAAAACGAATCAATGTCAATCTCTCTCTCTCTCCCTCTCCCTCTCTCTCTCTCTCTCACCAGGCCCGTAACTAGGGGTGGGGCACAGGGGGGAGGGGTGCAAAAAGTTTCAACCCCACCCCCCCTGCCTGTGAAAAAAATTGTCGACCATAAAAACACTAGATATACAATGCCCATTAATTTTGCAGCACCCCTGAGAACACTTCCCGTCCCCCTTCGTTGCTCTAAGCTAGTTACACCCCCCCCCCCCTTTCTCTCTGTTGAGTTATACTCGGGATTCAGTGGTTTTCTGACAATATAAACAGTCCTTTCATCGCGTTCGAACACATTTCCGTGCCGTTATTGTGATTTTCTGCCTTACTTCACGAAATGGTTATTGTTCTGGTTGTAATCTTTTTAACTTTAATACAATCAACAATTCATTCTATTTTATCTATAATTTTAGTAATTAAAAACACGTTTTATACTATTAGTTTTCTCTTATCTCGCCCTGTTTAAACAAAACAAATGCCATTTTAAGTTTAGAAAATCTGTTAATGATAATAGTTCGATTAATCGATGTTAATGTATTTAGCTAAAGGACCAATAATATTTACTATATTGAAGAGTTCCCAGGGACAACATCAAGACAATGGAAGCCTTTTACTTCGTTTTTTGTTTGGATGAACGACAATCAATCAGGAATGAATGGAAAGAAATGGGGTTTAACGTCCTACCTGTCCAAGATGGACATATTCCACGCAGCATGCAATGAGGGACATTTTGCCAGGGACAGCAATTAAATTCTAAATATCAAGTGTTATTTACGTGTATATACCAACTTGTTCACTGCGTTGTTTTCGCCCCATCCGAGCGGCTATACTCTATTCTTACCAGACCTTATTCTCGCACCACTGACAAGGGAAAACAACGCCGAAAAACTTGAACCCGGAACTTCCAATTTCTAATATCATCGAATCTCTAATATTTCAGATTTTCGAATATCTTAGATTTTCTAATATTTTCGATGTTCTAATATTGTCCATTTTCTGATATCATCGATTTTCTAATATCATACATTTTCTGATATTGTCCATTTTCTAATATTGTCCATTTTCTGATATCATCGAATTTCTAATATTTTCGATGTTCTAATATTGTCCATTTTCTGATATCATCCATTGTCTAATATTATCGATTTTCTGATATTTCGATTTTCTTTTTTCGATTTTCTGTTGATATTTCTGATTTTCTGTTGATTTTTTTTCCAGTTTCTAATATTTTCGATCTTTTTTATATTTTTGCTCAGTTTTTAATTTTTTCGATTTTCTGATAATTTTCAGGTTTTAAAGTGAATGAAAGATCAGGTGATCAACAGGTTTCCGCCAATGCTGCACCGCCACCAGTTCACAGTGCTGATGTTGGTGAAAGTAAAGGCTGCAATGCGTTTGGGGACAAGTGTAGCTGGTGGGCTGGATGCTGTGAGGGTATGAAGTGTGATGGTTTCTTTAATGGTGTCTGCTGGTACGATTGGAAAAAATAAAGAAACCAAAAAAACATTATAACAAACATTTCTGTCCCCTATTATTCATGTTATATCTTTGAATACGCACCTTCGGCTAAATAATAAATGCTTATGGCGGTTTTCGCCAATTCTAACTGGCATTTGAATTTTTTACTTAAAGCTCCAACAAGATTCCGTGACTGTTAATTAATGTGTATCAAACTGTTTTCAGTTTTTAGTCAAAACTTTGAATTTTCTTCATAAATATTAAGTGACAGCTGCAGTTAATTTTGAAATGTGTATTTATTCGTTTATATGTTCACCGTTGTATCCGTTTGCGTGCACGTTAATAAAAACTTAATAAAAATGAAATGAAATGAAATGGGGTTTAACGTCCTACTGTTCTGCTCCTAACCTGGGCTAATGATAGGGTGACCCATGTACTCACAGAAATACAGTCCACCGCTGATAGTTCGAGACTACCACTGAAGCGTGCACATTCGCCGTGCCGAGACCAAATTTCTGACAGTATGATACTATAAATAGCCATGGCACGTGCAATTCTCTACAAATCTATCAACTATTACAGCCGTAAAAAATTTATTGTTGACGATTTTGAATAGCAGTAAAATTAAGCTTCTTGGTTATTACAGCAGATTTAGAAATTACGTTCGTTTCATTTTTTAAATCGCTTTATCATTAACTGTACCGTTAAGAGTGGCATCTTTTGGTTTAGTACAAATAATATCTCTGAATCACTCGGGTTAGACAGGAACATGATACTAGCAGTAGTTTCATTTTACTTTTACAAGCTTCTTAAAACGATTGTTGAGCTACCTAACGTGCTTATTTCTAAATTCAATTTCTTGTTCTAGCTTTCTGTTATGTTTCGTAAAAAAGTTGTCTTGATTATCCCGACCTGTCAATCAGACGTAGAATGGTCGATAGACTGGTTAAGCGAGACTAATTTCAAAACAAGGGCACGTAACCTATCTTTTACTCAAAAGTGTCTGGATGTTATGGACGACTCTTGGAACCAGTTTTCAGTCTATTTTTTATACATGATTAATGGTCATAGCTTATTAAGTACAACATGATCGTTTATTTAGTGACTATAATTGTGTGAAACTGATTTGAGGCCTGGCATATATATACATATTGTGGCGTAATTGTCGAGATATATGGAGATATTTATTTATGGTGGGTCACCCTACTAATGAAGACGGGCATACGCCATACAGTGTGCTATGAGGGAAATTTTGCCCGGGCAGCGGCACTACGGCCTACTCTTATATCGAATTCCAACTGCCAAGGGATCTTTTACGTGCACGCCAATGTGTACACGGGACCTCGGTTTTTCGTCCCATCCGAACGACTAGACAGCTTTCCTTGTCAGGCCCTCCTGCATCAAAAAACTTAATAATTAGAGAGAGAGAGAGAGAGAGAGAGTGAGAAATGGGGTTTAACGTCCACTCGACACAAACTAGGTCATTTCGGGACTAACATATGGTTTAATTTTATTTACATAATTCGCTTGCGCGTTGGGGTCTTTAGCATTGGGAGGAAACCGGAGGACCCGGAGAAAACCCACGAGGTTGGACAGGCGATCCTACTCCTTGCCACGTAAAACCGGGGATTCGAAACCACGCCAGTCGACTCAATGACAGACTTTACGATATACAGCGCGCGCACGCTAACCATTCAGCCATCCACACCCCCCCCCCCCCCCCACACACACACACCCCTTAATAATTAGAGATTGGTGAAGGGAAGGAGGGGGGGGGGGGCTTATCTGTACCAAACGGGATACTTAAGACGGGCATGTAGTGTGCTATGAGGGAAATTCCGCCTGGTCTTCATTGAATTTCCAATTATATTACGTTTACGCCGACCTGTACTATGGGCACAATTTTTGTCTTATCGGGACGAGTACATGTGGTTCCTCGCTAGGCCCTCTGCTTGAAATTAGTCCGATGATGAACCCGGGGAATTGTCTCGACCACACCAGGATTTAACCCGGTCACTCGCCTTTTCACATCTTCGTGTTGCGTCTTCGCATCTTTGCCTCCGGTTTTTGTTTCTATGACAGAAGTTGTGGGGATATGGAAATATCACTTTCAATCACCATAAGATTTTAAACCCCACATGAAAATCTTCAATCAGCAACAATTTCAAACTGATCGTGCATTTGAATGGAGGCGGGGATGGAGGTAGGGTTCCAGCGGTTAGGATGTCGTGCTTCATGCTCTAGCTTGAGATCGTTGTTTCGCCCACTGGTATGAGCGTATTTGGCCTTGCGACAGCGTCGCCTTCTCAATAATAAAAAAAGACAACTTATCTGCCATATAACCATTGATGGAAGCGGAGAAAGAGAGAGACAGAAATGGGGTTTAACGTCCACTCGACACAAACTAGGTCATTTCGGGACTAACATATGATTTAATTTTATTTCACTAATTCGCTTGCGCGTAGGGGTCTTTAGCAGTGGGAGGAAACCGGAGGACCCGGAGAAAACCCACGAGGTTGGACAGGCGACCCTACTCCTTGCCACGTACAACCGGGGATTCGAAACCACGCCAGTCGACTCAATGACAGACTTTATGATACAGCGCGCACGCTAACCATTCAGACATCCAACCCCCCGATGGAAGCGGACGTTAAACACTTAACAGAAGGAGAATGAAAGGAGGTGATTAATCTGATGTCAGAGTACACTTGTATAGGATCTGGAATGAGATTAGTTGCGTTCAAGCACCTGATTACAACCTCGTGTACAAATTAAGTCGTGGATAATCCTTTATGAATCGGATCCGACTCATCTCTCTGACTGTGTGTTATCGAGAGAACAATTTTCTCCTAACGAGGATATTCTTAGAACAAGTAAAACGAACGTATTGAAGAGCAGGAAATTATTTAGATTAAAAAGATAAAAAAAAACCTCTTCATCATTACAGTTCTTTAATTTAGAATCAGTCTTTCGAGAAAAAATCTTTAAGATTTTTTTTTAGATTAAATCTCTTTCTCCAGCATTACAGAAACAAAACAGATTCTTTAAAAGGAGGATCTGGTTTTAGATACAGAAGAATCAGGAATCGAAATGCACTACTTGACAGCAAATTAGTTTCGAAATTATCAGAAAATAACGTCAAATAATTTCCTTTAATCTTCAAGTGTTTTTCTAACAATGGCTTTGTTCTTCATAACAGTGCTTGTATATTATGCAGTATTTAAAGTAACTATGGGTGATGGGCTATGCGGGATTGGCATTTTTTGGAAAATACCTATGTTGGCTGATTAGTATCAGGGTGGGGGGGTGGCCCAATGGTTAGCACGTGCGCGCTGTATCATAAGGTCTGTCATTGAGTCAACTGGCGTGGTTTCGATTCCCCGGTTGTACGTGACAAGGAGTAGGGTCGTCTGTCCAACCTCGTGGGTTTTCTTCGGGTCCTCCGGTTTCCTCCCACTGCTAAAGATCCCTACGCGCAAGCGAATTATAGCAACAGCCCGGCAACCCGGCAACCCGACATCACGACAATTTAACTCGACACCATGACAACTCGACAACCCGACATCATGACATTTCCACCCGACAATACCACATTTTCACTTGACACCACGACATTAAAAATGTCGCAAAATCGCGTAAAATGTCATATTTTCGGGTTAAAATGGCGCGATGGCGTGATGTCGGGATATCGGCCATATTCCTCTCAACACTATGATCATGTACACTGGTGCCGGTGTTGTCCAAGAAAGTTCCCCGGGATTTTGAAGCGTGGTTTATCCCTGTCGGTACTGCAGGACAAAGGGCCTGGCAAAAAACAATGTCTAGTTGTGTAGATGGGACAAAAAAAGACAAGCTCCTGTGTACACATGCCACGGTCCATTGAAAATTTGCGTCATAGCTCTCCGCATAGCATATGCCTATCTTCAATATCCCGATTGGCGCAGACAAGTAGGAAAATTGAATGAAATGAAATTGGGTTTAACGTCCTACTACTATGTTCAACCGGGACATCGAAAACGCTAACCATTCTGTCATCCACCACACCACACCACGGCTATTGGTGCTGATTCGCTATGAATACATTATGAATACACTTGCTCCACCAATCCTCAGACATTCAGCAATTCGTCGTGGCATGCTCCCAATCAACCGTCCAATCACGATTTGGGGCAATCTGACCCACACCTCTTGCAGTGCCACAGCCAATTCTTGCAGTGTTGTCGGTTGACGTTGACGTCGACGAACACGTCTCCCGATCAAATTAGACGTAACGCACTATATACTAAAGCAAAGACTCGCTAAACAGTAAATCGTATGCAAGAACCAATAGGGAAGCAAACATGGATAGGATAAACCAGCACGCGGCAGTTTTCATCAACCCTTCCTTGAAGTGTTAAATTTGATAATGAAGCCCTACCACGTGTATGGCGCTATTGCGTGTCGCATGTGCAGCTCAGTGGTCCTGTTGTTGCGGTATGTGAACCTACTCTCAAAGCATGTCAAGTGTTCATGACTATTTATCATATCGCACTCTGTATAGGTATTTACATTTCAATATCCCCTACTTTTTCTTTGAAGAGTATAATTAACGCACGGTTCGTAGTAAAAATTAATATGAGAATTTCTATTATAAGGTCAAAATTGAACAAAATCACATGAACCACCGAAGCACCTGTTTTTCAGTTTCACTAGTATCGGTGCACGGGCGCTGAACTGAGCAACCAGCCAGTTGCTGCCAGTTGCCTTTAGTTGTTGTCAGTTACCTCCAGTTGCCAAAGTGTCGATGGACGCCTAACGCGTAGATGTGTCTTCACAAAAAGCCTTAATCCTATTCTTGCAGGGACTATTAATGTACATCCTTTCTTCATTTCCTTTTTATTTTTTCTATATCTTGGTCTGAAGATCACATGATATGATCAAGGTTCTATTGAAATGGCGTTTTTCCCCAGAACATTAATCAATAAAGACAAGACAGGAAACGGAAGCTGTGAGCCACCAAGACGTTTTTAATGAAACGAACAAATACATTTATATTAAAAGCCCTCATATGGTAAGTAATCGTAGTAAATACGTCTGTTATAGTACGCGGATTGGGTGGCCGAATGGTTAGCACGTGCGCGCTGTATCATAAGGTCAATCATTGAGTCAACTAGCGTAGTTTCGATTCTCCGGTTGTACGTGACAAGGAGTAGGGTCGCCTGACCAACTTCGTGGGTTTTTCCGGGTCCTCCGGTTTCCTCCCACTGCTAAAAAGACCCCTACGCACAAGCGAGTTATTGAAATAAAATTAAACCATATGTTAGTCCCAAAATGACATAGTTTGTGTCGAATGGACGTTAAACCCCATTCCCCCTCTCTCTCCCTCCCTCTCGGAATTTAGAGCTTTAAAAGTTAATAATAAAATCTTGAAATTAATTCGCTGATTTAACGGGTAACCAATGTAGTGATGATAAGGGAGAGGGGTCTCACATGGGCCAAGTCCGTTGGGAGATGCTAATCATAGGCCGGTTGGGGAGGTTCGGGTGTTTCCGGAATCCAAAATGGCCGCTTTATATTAATAAATTTTTTTGGGAATACTAACCCTTATCCTAACCCTAACCCTTTTTAGAAGACTGAACTTGGATCTAATTTAACGTTTACCCCTCTTAAAAGGGTTAAGGTTAGTATTCCCCAAAATACTCATTTATAAAAAGCGGCCATTTTGGGCTCCGGAAATTCCCGAACCTACCCAACCGGCCTACAATTAGTATTTCCCAAGTCCGTTCCCCAATCCCATTCAGACATCCTGAATAAAATATTGTTTATAAAAAAAAAAAAAAAAATTACTACTTACCTAAAAGATAATCAGTACTTGCCGGATCAACATGAGATAAATCAGTTGCGTTCCATACAAACTTGGCTTTAACACCCCGTGTAGCTTTCTCTTTTTGCCATTCCTTTAAATAAATAAATAAATACATATACCTGATCAAATGCCATTCCACCACTCATCCCCACCAACGGAATTCGCGTGGTCCAACATCTGTAATGTAGACCATTCAAGGGAGTGGCGTGGTTTCGACCCCTCGCTTGTACGTGACAAGGAGTAAGTTCCCTACCCAGCCCAGCGGTTTTTCTCCGGTCTGTCTGATCAACCTGACAGATCCTCTATTCATGATCCAGTAGGTCCACAGTATTTTGTTGGAAGCAACATCTGGTCTCCAAGCTCTATCCCATCTTGTTGTTTATGTATGTTGTTGTTCTTGAGTTTGGCGCTCACGATCGACATTAAACTTGGCTCCCAATTACCTCAATAAGATTTCGACCGTCTTGTCTTTGACCGTTGTGACCATTTTCTGGATCCTTGTGACCATTTGGGTAGAAATAATGTCTTCCGCCTCCCATAATAACCTTCAGATAAATTATAAATGAATGAATGAATAAAACGAGGTTTTACGTCCTACAGTCTTCCCCAACCGGGCTAATAAAGACGGACATACACCAAGCAGTGTGCTATGAGGGACATTTTGTCCGGAAGGCAACTGAATTACAGCTGTCAGGGTGTTTTTTTTAACGTGCACGTAAGATGTACACATGACCTCGGTATTTCGTCCTGTCTGAATTACTAGATACTGTTCCAGAATACCCAAACACACATTTCTAGATCCAGCTTTAGTTAAATGAAAGACAAACACCATTAAAGATGCATTACGTAATTGCTACGTCCCCGGTTAGATCTATTTGATAAGGCTAACTTCAAGTTTGGTCAAGGGCTAGCGCTAATCCCAACCTCTCCCCCAAATTCTTAAACCTAACCCAGGATCTAGCTTTAAAGCTTACCCGAACCTAACCTACAATCTCGCCAATAATCATGTGCACTAACCTTTTTTACATCTCAGCGACCTTGACGAAAATTGTACTGGCCTTAACAAATATATATCGAATTGGCAAATAATCAGAAATGAAATGGAGTTTAAATTCCTACGTTTCTGCCCTAGTCAGACTAATTAGGGCGGGTAATGATTATTCAGGTATAATCCCACTAAATAAGATAGCGAGCCACTGGTTGATCTTTCTTTGTTCTCTTTGCCGCGTTCTGTCACCCTATCAATTTTCTTGGATGTTAGCGATGTATCCATCCATCTAAATAGTATATTGGTAAGTGCAGGAGGACCGCACTACAGGTAAACAAATGTTATAGGGCAAGACGCACAGCCTACACAAACATTACAAGGTTGATACATAGTATATTAATAGACTTATTTTTTTGAAAATCCCAATTTCGACCAAAATCAATACTTTTCTTTGTTTTGTCTGTAGCTCAATATTAGACTTTGCGCATTCCTACTCATTTAGCCCACACGGGTCACATATATAAATTCAAGTGAATGAATCCGGGGCACTAGCTGTAAGCATCAACTGAGCTGTACTGTAGTGATACACTCACAAATATATAAAATGATCCCGCGACACCTCCCCCCCCCCCCCACACACACACCTGTATATCTTTGTTATCTTCGACCAACTGTTTTGCTATATCCTTGCATCCTCCGTGAACATCGGTCATTTCATTATCTCCTTCCCAATTTCTATTAGCAACACTAGCATAGGCTCCTGCTGGAGTAGCATGAGTTATTCGGGTAGTGGTAACAACGCCTGCTGACTTTCCTGAAATTAATCATTCTATGATCATTGCAGTATTAAAATACAGTGTTTCGGTCATTTTGAGATTAGCATGCGGTTATGACGCTGCTAGAGTAGCATGAGTTATTCGCGTAGTTGTAACAACGCCTGCTGACTTTCCTGAAATTAATAGTTCTATGGCCATTGAAATACCAAAGTACGTGAACGGGAATGGTGAAAAGGAGGAAAGAACTGTGGTCAATTTGATACTAGCATAGGGTTAATTGTTTTCTGCTATCGCCTTTGTGCAATGCTATAGAGTGAAGGGGGGGGGGCGGGTGTAGTGGGGTCGTTGTCTACTAGTCATTAAAGACCGACAATCGAAAGTTCGTTTACGTGCACGTCAATTTGCTCCTCGAGTTTTCGTCGTATCCCAGGCTTCACAGTTCGACAAGAATGCTTGAGACATCCTGAAATTCTTCCCGGTCGGCTCGTGGCTATTCTAGTACACAACATCCATCAACTCGAATGATTAAAATTCAAATTGTAAACTTGAAATGTGTAAAATTAGCGCAAAGAAACAATCCCTGATAGAACTGCAAATTACATAAACAACTTAAAAAAGAACTTTTAAAACAACTTTAAATAAATCAATAAATTATTCCTACAGCTAAAGACCCATACGTACAAATGATTTATTGAAATAAGATTGAGCCATAAGTTAGTCCCGAAATGACCTATTTTTTTGTGTGCGTTAGGTTATAAGGTCCGTCATTGAGTAAAGCGGGTGGTTTCGCCTGTCCAACATCGTCCTCCCATTTTCTTCCACTGCTAAAGACCCCTACTCGCAAACGAATTATTGAAATAAAACTGAACCTTATGTTAGTCCCAATGATTTGGTTTCTTGTGTCGTGTGGACGTTAAACTCCCTCCATCTCTCTCTCTCTCTCTCTCTCCCTCTCTCTCTCTCAGTGCAGACTAGAAACAGACAACAGAGCTATTTATTTCACGTCTATCCTTAATGTCATCATAAGATGGTGGATTACTTCTAGTAAGTGGATGTGAAGATCTTGGACACAGAGTTATACTATTTCCCGTCACCATCCAATTTACGCTTATTGGCTAATTAATATGACATGCGATCATGTCTCGGATTGTCGGTTAACAGGGTATTATCATCTGTAGAGTCTTGACCATTGCAACAAACACTCGTGATATCTAACAATTACTCGGAAATAGGTTAAACTAGACGCTGACCTTATTTAGTTGACAGGTCAATATCAATAGACCTTGGCTATTGAAGTAAGATTCTGTGTAAAAAATACACCCACTCGCTTGTCATTCCCAACGGCGGTTTGCGTGGATACCTTTGCTTGATAAACACGAGAGAACCCTCGTCGAAAACAGTAACTTGTATTCCAGATAATTGTGCCATGTCTTATCTGAAATTGGCTTAGATCCTATACTTCGAAAATCACTTACTTTGCAGACCCAACCCATACACACCCACACATATCCACAAAGACGCGCACACGCACTCACGCCGCTACCTTGTCTGATCTGGTGGTTGACGAGAAATAATTACTTAATTATTGTAAGTTTATTAATTACGTTCGGTCTATAGTTATATTTATTGTGAATTACTATCAGACTAAAATTGTATTTATTGTGCGTTACGTATTGTTTAATGGTCGAGAGCGAGACATTAAGTAATATATTGTAACAACATGAGGGCCATAGGCCCGAATGTTTTTACAATATATTACGCAATGTCGTAAACTCGAGACCATTAAACATCTTAAAATACTGACACTCCGCACGAGCTTTTACGTCACACTAGTCCAATATCTCACTGGTATGAATAAAGTACTATTGGCAAGTTGCCCGTACGATTATTTGAAATAATGGTACGCCAACATCAAAGGGTGACGTCACATCTGTATTTTAATAATTACTATCAGTCTGAAATTATATTTATTGTGAGTTTACTAATTACTATCAGTCTGAAATTATATTTATTGTGAGTTTACTTATTACTATCATTCTAAAAATGTATTTAATGTGAGTTACTAATTACTATCATTCTAAAATTGTATTTATTGTGAGTTACTTAATACTATCAGTCTAAAATTGTATTTATTGTGAGTTACTATTTACATTACTATCAGTCTAAAATTGTATTTATTGTCGGTTTACTGATTACTATCAGTCTAAAATTGTATTTATTGTGCGTTACTAATTACTATCAGTCTAAAATTATATTTATTGTGAGTTTACTAATTACTACCATTCTAAAAATGTATTTAATGTGAGTTACTAATTACTATCAGTCTAAAATTGTATTTATTGTGAGTTACTAAATACTATCAGTCTAAAATTGTATTTATTGTGAGTTACTATTTACATTACTATCAGTCTAAAATTGTATTTATTGTCAGTTTACTGATTACTATCAGTCTAAAATTGTATTTATTGTGCGTTACTAATTACTATCAGTCTAAAATTATATTTATTGTGAGTTTACTAATTACTATCAGTCTAAAATTGTATTTATTGTGAGTTACTAAATACTATCAGTCTAAAATTGTATTTATTGTGAGTTACTAAATACTATCAGTCTAAAATTATATTTATTGTGAGTTACTATTTACATTACTATCAGTCTAAAATTGTATTTATTGTCAGTTTACTGATTACTATCAGTCTAAAATTGTATTTATTGTGCGTTACTAATTACTATCAGTCTAAAATTATATTTATTGTGAGTTTACTAATTACTACCATTCTAAAATGTATTTAATGTGAGTTACTAATTACTATCAGTCTAAAATTGTATTTATTGTGAGTTACTAATTACATTACTATCAGTCTAAAATTGTATTTATTGTCAGTTTACTGATTACTATCAGTCTAAAATTGTATTTATTGTGCGTTACTAATTACTATCAGTCTAAAATTATATTTATTGTGAGTTTACTAATTACTATCAGTCTAAAATTGTATTTATTATGAGTTTACTAAGTACTATCAGTCTAAAATTGTATTTATTGTGAGTTACTAATTACATTACTATCAGTCTAAAATTGTATTTATTGTCAGTTACTAATTACATTACTATCAGTCTAAAATTGTATTTATTGTCAGTTACTACTAATTACTATCAGTCTAAAAGTGTATTTATTGTGAGTTTACTACTAATTACTATCAGTTTAAAATTGTATTTATTGTCAGTTTCCTAATCAGTAGCAGTCTATAATTTTATTTTGCAATACTTCAGACTCTGTCCACCATTCATTTGAGATTGCAAAAGTGCATAAATAGGCTTCCATAGTTTATAGTAAGAGAGCAGAGAGAGAGAGAGGGAGAGAAATGGGGTTTAACGTCTTTAGCAGTGGGAGGAAACCGGAGGACCCGGAGAAAACCCACGAGGTTGGACAGGCGACCCTACTCCTTGTCACGTACAACCGGGGATTCGAAACCTCGCCAGTCGACTCAATGACAGACTGTAGTAAGAGAGCAAAACCTAAAAGAAATGAAATAAAATGAAATGAAATGAAATGGGGTTTAACGTCCTACTGTTCTGCTCCGAACTGGGCTAATGAAGACGGGCAAACGCCATACAGTGTGCTATGAGGGGCATTTTGCCCGGACAGCTGCACTGAGGCCTACTCTTATATCGAATTCCAACTGTCACGGGATCCTTTACGTGCACGCCAATGTGTACACGGGACCTCGGTTTTTCGTTCCATCCGAACGACTAGACAACTGTCCTTGTCAGGCCCTCCGTCCTGGATGAACTTTCTCGGCCAATGCAGGGATTGAACACCCGACCTCCAGGATAGCGAGCCAGCGTCTTACCGTTTGAATAACGATATTTACGTAGTTCGTTAATCGCGAGACGAATGTCAACCATTGAAGTGCACGTATGAGGTCACTAGGATGATAATTCATGATCGTGTAATATATAATAAAGGATTTTAATCATCTTTACTGGGTATATCGCTGAATAACACCAACTATATATATATATCCCAGATGACCAAATTCAATCAAAACCTTTCAGCACTTGTTTCATTTTGTAGTATTGGTTGAGTTGTGGTCAATACAGCTTTCAACACGGATTAATATAGAAAATCACACCCCTTGTCAAAAACTGACCCCTTGAAGTCTAATACTCACACGCCTTGTCAAAAACTGACCCCGTGGAGTCGAATACTTACACACCTTGTCAAAAACTGACCCCTGATTCAGTATATAATCTTCAAAAAGTTCAGAATATCCGTGAACTCTTTTTCGAGAAAAGAGGAATTACGGTTCTTGGGAGATATTTATAGCTGACATATTACAACCTGTACTCATGATTCCAAGGCACACGTGACATAATTTGACATTTTCTTTAAGTTAGTATTTAGATGATCGCGGAATTACTCGAAAACAATCAATTTTCGCCAATTAAAACCCGACCACGATTTATCATTGGACATAAAATGTTGAAGAAAGATAGATTGTCACTGTATAAAATCAATCAACATATAAAGGTCAATGTAATCGATAATTATATTTATGACCTTTCTCCACTTAAACGAGAGAGAGAGGGGGGTTTAACGTCCTCTCGACACAAACTAGGTCATTTCGGTACGAACATATGATTCTATTTTATTTCAATAATTCCCTTGCGCATAGGGGACTTGACAGTGGAAGGAAACAGGAAGATCCGGAGAAAAGCCATGAGGTTGGACAGGCGGCCCTACTCCTTGTCACGCACAACTGGGTAATCGAAACCCCGCCAGTTGACTCAATGACAGATCGTATGATACAGCGCGCGCTTGCTAACCATTCGGACATCCAATCCCCCGAGAGAGAGAGAGAGAGGGGGAGCGGTAAGCAGGTCATTTCGGGACTAACACATGTTTTATTTTGCATTATCTTTTTTTAAAAAAAAAAAACTATTATAGCCAGGACAGCTATTTATCTAAATCTTAGATAATGCATCATATATAGAAATAATCACGTTTAGACTTGTTAGAAAACATGAAACTATAGTA